TCAACCTGCTGCTCTCTGTTTCCGTCTCAGTTTGATTGTACAGAGCTCTTTCTGTAAACACTTCACTGCTGTGGGGCTTGTTCTCCTTCACCTCTCACCTCCCAACAGGTGACCTCTGACCCCAGGCCACAGCCGGCCTCTTCATGTCCACTTATAGCAACGACACACTGTGTGTTGGGTTATTTTCAGTAACTCACCCCCTCCTCTTGTCACATTGAACTGCTTCTTGTTTCTCCTCCCCCTCCCCACCTCAACACGTTCCCCCTATTTACATCTTGTTCATTCTCAGGCAGAATGAAGTTGAATCAAATATATTTCGTTGTATCCTTACCTATCTCCCCTCCCCTCCTCTCTCTGTGTCTTCCTCCTTCAGGAAATGTCTGCTAAGCCTCCGGGCTTCTTCCCCACCCCTCATCAAATTGATAGCAATTAAGTTCATGTGGGACAAAGGGTGTGTTCAATGGGTGTGTGAGGCCAGATGTGGAGCAGGTTTGACCCTGACCTGGAGGAGGAGAGCTGGTTTCTGAGTGACTGCTGTTTGATCACTAAATGTTCACTGCAGCTCACCTTTTGGTCTGTTTCAACACTTTCCAGATTAAAGTCATTTAGGAGAGGACTCTTTAAAGTAGAGACACTACATACTGATATACACCTGAACATCAGCAGGAGAGGACTCTTTAAAGTAGAGACACTACATACTGATATACACCTGAACATCAGCAGGAGAGGACTCTTTAAAGTAGAGACACTACATACTGATATACACCTGAACATCAGCAGGAGAGGACTCTTTAAAGTAGAGACACTACATACTGATATACACCTGAACATCAGCAGGAGAGGACTCTTTAAAGTAGAGACACGACATACTGATATACACCTGAACATCAGCAGGAGAGGACTCTTTAAAGTAGAGACACTACATACTGATATACACCTGAACATCAGCAGGAGAGGACTCTTTAAAGTAGAGACACTACATACTGATATACACCTGAACATCAGCAGGAGAGGACTCTTTAAAGTAGAGACACTACATACTGATATACACCTGAACATCAGCAGGAGAGGACTCTTTAAAGTAGAGACACGACATACTGATATACACCTGAACATCAGCAGGAGAGGACTCTTTAAAGTAGAGACACTACATACTGATATACACCTGAACATCAGCAGAAGAGGACTCTTTAAAGTAGAGACACTACATACTGATATACACCTGAACATCAGCAGGAGAGGACTCTTTAAAGTAGAGACACTACATACTGATATACACCTGAACATCAGCAGGAGAGGACTCTTTAAAGTAGAGACACTACACACTGATATACACCTGAACATCAGCAGGAGAGGACTCTTTAAAGTAGAGACACTACATACTGATATACACCTGAACATCAGCAGGAGAGGACTCTTTAAAGTAGAGACACTACACACTGATATACACCTGAACATCAGCAGGAGAGGACTCTTTAAAGTAGAGACACTACATACTGATATACACCTGAACATCAGCAGGAGAGGACTCTTTAAAGTAGAGACACTACATACTGATATACACCTGAACATCAGCAGGAGAGGACTCTTTAAAGTAGAGACACTACATACTGATATACACCTGAACATCAGCAGGAGAGGACTCTTTAAAGTAGAGACACTACACACTGATATACACCTGAACATCAGCAGGAGAGGACTCTTTAAAGTAGTGAGTACATTGGCATTAGAAACAGTGGAGGTCAGGTTTAAATGTCAGGAGTTTAACTTAGTTTCCAGCGGCAGACATCGTTACGCTTCTTTGGTTTTAACCCAGGAACAATTCAGATTTTTCCGTGTGGTTTCTGAAACCCAACGTTCTCCAGATGAATGTTCCTAGCGGAGAGGTTTGGGAGAGGCTGTTGGTGGAGGTGAGGAGGGAAACCATTTTCAGTGGAATATAAGTTTATTCATGAATCATCCTTTGCAAAAACAAGAAAAGGGAAATATAGGGTTTCATGTTGGGTGGAGTCAGTCTCCAGTATTTCATAATAACACATTGTTTCCGACTCTTTTATGAGCATACTGCGCTACTTTACTATTCCTCATTAAATGTACAGTATAGGAGTTTCCCCCCATGGCTAAATAACTCTTGCCTCTCTTGTTATACTAAAAGCAGCCACATTCAGAACTATGGGGACATTTAGAGCAGATAATGCCCTCTTTATGTACATTATCTTCTAGTTCCTCTGCACATGTTGTTCTCTGACAAACAGCAGCTCGTTTCCTCTCACATAGTGAATTCCCAGAGCGCCTTTGAACTCTGCGTTATGAGTTTTCCTCCTCAAACAAAAGACATTGTGTGCGTCTCCATTGAAACGAGAGCGTGATGAAATATTTAATCTGAGACTTCACCTCGGAGACCGGACACACGCGGTCAGCTATGCGCCCATTGTGACGGAAACACACACATATATATTGCTCTGTCAGTGGGTTACTTTAAATATGTTCCCACTGGGAAGCAAAACGTGGGCTTCCATTTGTGTTTATGAACTCTCTGTACTTGACCTCTTTTACACAAGGCATCTGGTTGTAAGTGCATTCAAAGCCATACGCTGAGCCCATAATATAATACTAAACAATTCATAAAACAACGGAGACCAGGGGACACTAAAGAGTGACGCACACAGCTGGAGACCAGGGGACACTAAAGAGTGACGCACACAGCTGGGAGACCAGGGGACACTAAAGAGTGACGCACACAGCTGGGAGACCAGGGGACACTAAAGAGTGACGTACACAGCTGGGAGACCAGGGGACACTAAAGAGTGACGCACACAGCTGGGAGACCAGGGGACACTAAAGAGTGACGCACACAGCTGGGAGACACTGGGTCCTTCTCAGGTCGACTATTTTCATTTCCTCGGTCCTCGGTCCTCGGTATCACCGGAAGTTGATTTGTCTGTGCCATCTTGAGTAGCGTCCCATGGCTCTTATTTCTGCCGGAGGAGCGAGGAGCGAGGAGCGATAATGGAGGAGCGATAACCGAGGAACCACCAGACCATCCTCCGGTGAAATCCTCAGATACTTTCCCCGCCCCCTTACTGTGTATCGCTCACTGATTGGACGATGCAGCGCATGCACTGATCTGATGCTTCTTGACATGAGAGCAGTTTCCCAGCGGAGTGAAGAAAACACATGAAACTCACGGGACTCACTCCTCAGTTTATACTGTGTTTTGTTTCAATGAATGCATCATTCAGTTACAAATATGTGATATATCTGAACAACTAAGTGGTCAAAAATGATTTTATTCATTTATTGGAAACATTTCCATGATCGCTTTTTTCGATTTACATTTTCATGTATTGTAATTTCCAGTCACAGCTGAGGCATGACTTCCTTGATTCCACTCGGTTTCAAAGCCCTGCCTCCAGCATGCAGCTGGCACATTTGAAAGACATGGCGGCAGAAAAACTACACAAGTGTAAGTACCTTTTACTTAATGTTATTTGTATGCCTACAACGATACCGTTATGATAATGCAACATCTGTTCACATGTATTTAACCCACAACTCATATATTTCTGTTATTGAACGCTTTATATTTTCTCAACAATGTTCATGTGAAATGCCCAATTAAAGGCAAGATTTGCAATAAATAACGTGCGTATACACGCAGCATTCGTTATGTTTCGGACATATTTTGGTTGGAAACCAGTTGTTTGTTCATTTAACTAGGCTGCCTGCCACATACAGACGTAACTAAGGTACCATCATTCATTTGGCAGTCACAATCTATTTGTAATAAATCATTCAATATATTAACATCGGCTCAATTAAATAATTAAGCTGTCATTTATATGTGGCATTATGTGAGTGAAATGTTAATGGCTTAAGGTTTCCTTTTGCTGATGTACATAACATATTTCTCCTTAAACAGGGACGGAGGCCCAAACCAGATCACTGGTTCAGCATAGGACTGAGCATGAGCACCTGTTCACAGGAAAGAGGTACACAGCCAAGAAGGCCTGGGGGTGAGCTACAGTTCTACATGAGTTGTTTGACAATATTGTTTTGGTGCATGGTATGATAATCAATGTAACCACTACTGTGAATGAACCACAGTGAACCTGAGTGTGTCATGGAATTATTATGCATGAAGCATATTGTCAGAAGTAATCACACTTTGCATGCCGGGATGCTATGGTTTACAAATTGTTTACTCCACAGAGAGGTTCTGCAGAAGATGGGGTTGGAGGAGTTGCTCACTCCCACCCAACTGGCAAAAAAGTGGGACAACCTCAAATGCAAATATAAGGTGAGATATTGTATTTCTAGATGCATACAATGAAGCTAATTATATTGTGTCTTCATCTGACTCATACATTCCTTGTTCTCCCCCAGGAGCTGAAACCCCCCCCCCTACAGGGACGGGGACAGATGAGGGGGAGGCCACGGCAGCCACATGGCCGTGGTTTTCCCTGATGCATGAAGCCATCGGGAGTCGGCCCTCCATGGAGCCTCCAGTGCTGATGGACTCGGCTGACGTGACCCCCAGTGGGATTGGCTCTTCATCCAGTGGAGCTGGGGCCGCTCCTTGTGGCCAGGCAATTGAGGAAGAGGAGGATCCTGGGCAGCCTGGCACAAGTAGCAGCACCACTACACTGGATGAAGAGCCATCCACCTCTCTCAGTCCCCCGCCTGCCAAGAAGAAGAGGGCAAGTAGGGGGGCCCTTTTAGAGTTTTTAAAAGAGGAGGCCAAACAAGAGCAGGAACGCTTTGAGGCCACTCAGGCTAACGCCCAAAAGTATTTGGATTTATTTGAGAAATTTGTGAATAAATGATTTTGTTTCCAAGTTTTTGCAACGTTGTTATTGTTCCATTGAGATACACTTTGTTTGTCAAAACATTGTTCCTTTTATTTGTAAAATAATAAACATCACAACACAATAAAAAGCAAATGAAGGCACACAGCTTTTCACACAGTGTGGTGCCCAAGGCCTTCGTGTCCCCAAGTCCTACAAATAGTCATGTTCTTGAAGTTCGACTGGTTGCACACGTGGAGCAGAGAGCAGCCCTGCCAGTCGGTCTCGCTGGCCATGTCCGCCTTGTTCCCCGCTCACCAGACGTGGTGGAACCACACCAATGTCCCCAACATCCTCTGCAGGCTCAAGGATGTCCCCCGCTGTGAGGCAGATGTTGTGCAGCACTGCACAGGCGGTGATGACTGAGGGGACAAAGGTGTGGTGGACCTCCAGAGCCTTGAAGAACAGCGATCTCCACCTGGTTTTCAGCATGCCAAAGGCCCGCTCTATGATGGAGCGAGCCCTGGCATGATGCTGGTTGAAGCGGCTCTGCACCCTCCCTTGCAGTGGTTCTCTATATGGGGTGATGATGGCCACAGGTTCTTCTATGCAGGGGTAGCCACCATCACCCACAAGGAAGAATCCTAAAAAGAGAGAGAACATCTTTAGTATACTAACAGTCATTGATGGATTTTGATGTGTTAACAAGAATCTTTGGTCTCACCTGAAGGAGGATACAGAGCCCCTTTGTAGATTGCGCTGTTCTTCAAGACCCTGGTGTCGTGGACTGAGCCAGGATACCCAACAAAGGTGTTGAGAAAGAAGCCCTTCCCATCACACACTGCCTGCAATTGTATGGATGGGAAGAGCTTCCTGTTGAGGTAATCCTGGCCCTCAGGTCCTGGGGGGGTCTTTATGCGGACATGGCAGCCATCAATGGCCCCCACACACCTGGAGAATACTGGGCTGTTGGCCAGCCTTGCAAACCCTTGGCCAACCTCCTCCAGTTCTCCAGGGGGGGGCAGTGTGATGACCTCCTGGCGAAGGGCTGCAATTTTTTCAACTCCAGTGTGCACCAGTCTGCAGACGGTAGACCTGGGGACATCAAAGGCCCGGGACACCACACTGTACGATAAGCCGTGTGCCAACCAATAAAGGGTAATTAAAATATGCACCTCATGTGACCAGCCTTGTGTGCTCTTTGATGGCAGGATTCTCAGCAGGGCCTCCAGTGACTGGCGCCCCAGTCTGTAGTCCTGCATGAGGTCCTGGCCATCAAAGAACACAGCAAGGACTGGCAATGAGGGTTTAAAATGGCTATGGGATCGACATCCATCTGCAAAATAAAGATACCTGTTACCTTCAGCACCTAGCTTTTACTAAACTGACAATTAATTGATCTTACATGAAATTGCTGTTGTTGGTGAAACCATTCATACTGCAACAGAATAGTGATGCTTACCTCCATTAAACCAATCACCTGTTGTAGTCGTGCCCGACGGCGCCTGGCCCTGATTACTTTTTAATTCAGCTGCCAAACCCCAGTCATTAAGTGCTATTTAACATGTTCATTTGCTACATATCCACAGAAACAAACAAAGTGTGCAATCCAATGAATGTTAATCTAACTGGGTTTTGATATTATCACATATCTCTTTTTGTTCTCTGAATTATTTTATTTCTATTGTGCACTCTAATCAATATTAATCCAACTATTGTTCGTTTATACATTTTAAGAATGGCGTTTATCTTTTTTGAGAATGAGTTCTTATTTTATTTAATGTATTTGGGTCTACAACAGATGATACAAATGTTTGTGTCAGTAAATGTGTACTAACAGAGGCGGGGGTGTTTGTGAAAACAACGGGGACAGAGCTGCTGTCAGACGATCAGCTGTGCAGCGTCATCACAAACGGACGTCGCTTCACGTCACGCGCCGGAAGAAAGGACGTCCCATTGCTCTTAAAACTCATTTCCCTGCTTCTCGTGCTTTCCTTGCGTCTCTCCATGCTTCCTGGTGGGAGGGACTAAACGCAGGGAAACGACGCAAGTGAGGGACGCAAGGATTTCATTTAATCGACCTGAGAAGCAGCCACTGGGTCCTTCTCAGGTCGACTATTTTCATTTCCTCGCTCCTCGGTCTCGGTCTCACCGGAAGTTGATTTGTCTGCGCCATCTTGAGTAGCGTCCCATGGCTCTTATTTCTGCCGGAGGACCGAGGATCGAGGAGCGAGGAGCGATAATGGAGGAGCGATAACCGAGGAACCACCAGACCATCCTCCGGTGAAACCCTCAGACACTCGCCCCGCCCCCTTACTGTGTATCGCTCACTGATTGGACGATGCAGCGCATGCACTGATCTGATGCTTCTTGACATGAGAGCAGTTTCCCAGCGGAGTGAAGAAAACACATGAAACTCACGGGACTCACTCCTCAGTTCATACTGTGTTCTGTTTCAATGAATGCATCATTCAGTTACAAATATGTGATATATCTGAACAACTAAGTGGACAAAAATCATTTTATTCATTTGTTGGAAACATTTTCATGATCGCTTTTTCGTTTTACATTTTCATTTATTGTCATTTCCATTCAGTCAGTCATTAAGTGTTATTTAAAATGTTAATTTGCTACATATCCACACAAACAGACAAAGTGTGCAATCCAATGAATGTTAATCTAACTGGGTTTTGATAGATAACATATGTCTTTTTCTTCTCTGAATTATTTTATTTCTATTGTGCACTCTAATCAATATTAATCTAACTATTGTTCGTTTATACATTTTAAGAATGGCGTTTATCTTTTTTGAGAATGAGTTCTTATTTTATTTAATGTATTTGGGTCTACAACAGATGATACAAATGTTTGTGTCAGTAAATGTGTACTAACAGAGGCGGGGTTGTTTGTGAAAATAACGGGGACAGAGCTGCTGTCAGACGATCAGCTGTGCAGCGTCATCACAAACGGACGTCGCTTCACGTGACGCTCCGGAGGAAAGGACGTCCCATTGCTCTTAAAACTCATTTCCCTGCTACTCGTGGTCTTCTTGCGTCTCTCCATGCTTCCTGGTGGGAGGGACTAAACGCAGGGAAACGATGCAAGTGAGGGACGCAAGGAATCCATTTAATCGACCTGAGAAGGACCCCAGGGGACACTAAAGAGTGACGCACACAGCTGGGAGACCAGGGGACACTAAAGAGTGACGCACACAGCTGGAGACCAGGGGACACTAAAGAGTGTCACACACAGCTGGAGACCAGGGGACACTAAAGAGTGACGCACACAGCTGGGAGACCAGGGGACACTAAAGAGTGACGCACACAGCTGGGAGACCAGGGGACACTAAAGAGTGACGCACACAGCTGGAGACCAGGGGACACTAAAGAGTGTCACACACAGCTGGAGACCAGGGGACACTAAAGAGTGACGCACACAGCTGGGAGACCAGGGGACACTAAAGAGTGACGCACACAGCTGGGAGACCAGGGGACACTAAAGAGTGACGCACACAGCTGGGAGACCAGGGGACACTAAAGAGTGACGCACACAGCTGGGACGTTCAGGATGATAAAGCTGAACAGCTGTCTCTGTTGTTGGAAACTCACCTAAAATGTTTAATGTTCTATTTTAACAATGTGGTCACATGACTCCTTCTGATGTCACTGCAGATCTGCTGTAAGCTAGCTAGCTAGCTAACGTAGCTAACCTAATCATTTCAGATATACTGACAAACACTAACATGAGACGGACTAACTGGAGTTTGCACGGGTTGGCCACCGTAGTTTACGATCCAAACACATAGTTCCTCATATTGCCTGCGTGTTGGCCAAAAACTGTAATACAAAAAATGCAACTCATCGCGAAAGTGGCGTTTGCAGAAGAGGAAATAACTCTTCTGTATTCCTCATTCAAGAAAGGGGAAATAGTTGATGAAAAACATACTTACATTCCTTCAGTGACTTCAGAGGAATCTGACAATAATCTTATTTTATATTTTCTTGTTGGTATAAATCTACACATTCCTATGAAAACAAGAATGTATGTCTCTATGAAATAACATCTCACTATGATATGCCTCAGGGTGGAACCTGAAGGAGGCCAGAGGCATGCTGCTGGTGGAACAAAAACAACAGAGGCTTTTTGCAATAAATGATTATCCACGGAAGATACCAGAGTCTCAACTACCCTGCCTGGACTTAGATGTCTTTGTGCCAAACACAACACACACACACACACACACACACACACAGCACGCACGCACGCACGCACGCACGCACGCACGCACGCACGCACGCACGCACGCACGCACGCACGCACGCACGCACGCACGCACGCACGCACGCACGCACGCACACACACACACACACACACGGTGTGTTAAGGGTGGTGGTGGCGAAGTCGATGGGGAGTTGGCTTGGCAACTGGAAGGTCACCAGTTCAAGTCCCGGCAAGACCAAGTGCTACCGAGGTGTCCCTGAGCAAGGCACCGTTCCCTACACTGCTCCCCGGGTGCCGTTCAAAATGGCAGCACACTGCTCCTAACACTACGATGGGTCAAATGCAGAGAAACAATTTCCCCACGAGGGATTAACAAAAGTCCATCTTTCTTTACACACACACACACACACACACACATACACACCCACCCTCGTCACACAAACTAATGAGATGAGGATTGCGGGGAGAAGAAGGTGGGAGAAATTGAAATTAAAATCAGCGTGCCGTGTGCAGCTCACTGAGAAGATGCTGACTGAAAAACTGTGTGTGTGTGTGTGTGTGTGGATCTGCTGATCATTGACCATAACCACTGAAAGGTGTGTGTCTTAACGTTTTAGTGACATTGTGAATAGATTTGGGATTAGAGCTGAGGAAAGTGAGTCAGTGTTGCACAAGCTAATCAAAACCACCGTGAACACAAACTCCCATGATGCAATCTCCTGAGGTGGAGGGAGAATAAATCAGAACAACATCTGACTCACACGCCTCCATTCCTTCTGACTGGTAACTGTGTCAGACCATCTGTGTTTCATCGAGGGATTTTGATCAAAGGTAGCTACACTTCAGTTCATTTCTTCTCGCCTACTTTGGACATCCCAGATTGAGACTTTGTCCAGCGTCAGCCGACATGTTCTCCTGCAGCGTGACTTCAGAGACTCCTGAAACTCTGCTTTCCTCGTTGTGTCCGTCCGCTCCTCCGGGGAGCTGCTGACTGACGGGTTAGGGTTAGAAACCTGCAAACGCTCCCTGCAGGGCCTCATAATCAGAACCATGCCTCCCCCCCCCCCCCCCCCCCACCCTTACGTTCTCAAACACAAATTAAAGCAGTCCTTTTCCCCCGCGCTGATATTTCTTCATACGGTGGAAAGTTTGCACAGCCCTCTCCCTGGAGCTCGCCTCGCTTTCCAAATACCTGCAGCATGAAATCAAACCTCACTCAATAAGTCTCTGTGCTTCCCCGCTCTGCAGCCGGACCTGTGGGCGGCGTGCACGTCTTCATTCAGCCAAGAGAGAGGAGGCCAGAGAAAATACAGGAAGCTGGAAGAGGTAAGACTGAGCGTTCTTAGCGGCTGACGCATCCACAGAAAACGTCTTCTGAAAACCATCTGAGGGAATAAGAGAGCCAGAAAACACAGTCGATACTAAATTAAACTTATATCATGATGGGCTGCATACAGACTAGTCAACGCAACAACATCATCTTCACCTGTTGCCATTTCAACGTTAAAAACAATAAAACAAATGAATTGCTCCGTGGCATTCCTCTGTCTCTCTGAACTAACGGCTTCTAGAGCAGAGGCTCCCAGCCTGGGGGCGCGCCACAGAGCAGAGGTTCCCAGCCTGGGGGCGCGCCACAGAGCAGAGGCTCCCAGCCTGGGGGCGCGCCACAGAGCAGAGGCTCCCAGCCTGGGGGCGCGCCACAGAGCAGAGGCTCCCAGCCTGGGGGCGCGCCACAGAGCAGAGGTTCCCAGCCTGGGGGCGCGCCACAGAGCAGAGGCTTCCCAGCCTGGGGGCGCGCCACAGAGCAGAGGCTCCCAGCCTGGGGGGCGCGCCACAGAGCAGAGGCTCCCAGCCTGGGGGCGCGCCACAGAGCAGAGGCTCCCAGCCTGGGGGCGCGCCACAGAGCAGAGGCTCCCAGCCTGGGGGCGCGCCACAGAGCAGAGGCTCCCAGCCTGGGGGCGCGCCACAGAGCAGAGGCTCCCAGCCTGGGGGCGCGCCACAGAGCAGAGGCTCCCAGCCTGGGGGCGCGCCACAGAGCAGAGGCTCCCAGCCTGGGGGCGCGCCACAGAGCAGAGGCTTCCCAGCCTGGGGCGCGCCACAGAGCAGAGGCTCCCAGCCTGGGGGGCGCGCCACAGAGCAGAGGCTCCCAGCCTGGGGGCGCGCCACAGAGCAGAGGCTCCCAGCCTGGGGGCGCGCCACAGAGCAGAGGCTCCCAGCCTGGGGGGCGCGCCACAGAGCAGAGGTTCCCAGCCTGGGGGCGCGCCACAGAGCAGAGGCTCCCAGCCTGGGGGCGCGCCACAGAGCAGAGGCTCCCAGCCTGGGGGCGCGCCACAGAGCAGAGGTTCCCAGCCTGGGGGCGCGCCACAGAGCAGAGGCTCCCAGCTGGGGGCGCGCCACAGAGCAGAGGTTCCCAGCCTGGGGGCGCGCCACAGAGCAGAGGCTCCCAGCCTGGGGGCGCGCCACAGAGCAGAGGTTCCCAGCCTGGGGGCGCGCCACAGAGCAGAGGTTCCCAGCCTGGGGGCGCGCCACAGAGCAGAGGCTCCCAGCCTGGGGGCGCGCCACAGAGCAGAGGTTCCCAGCCTGGGGGCGCGCCACAGAGCAGAGGCTCCCAGCCTGGGGGCGCGCCACAGAGCAGAGGCTCCCAGCCTGGGGGCGCGCCACAGAGCAGAGGCTCCCAGCCTGGGGGCGCGCCACAGAGCAGAGGCTCCCAGCCTGGGGGCGCGCCACAGAGCAGAGGTTCCCAGCCTGGGGGCGCGCCACAGGTATCATATTTAGACTTTTTATTTATTTATTTTTTTTTTTACATATAATTGTAACGCAATACATGATTGTCACTAAAAGCCTTGTCTCTACAATAAAATATAAAAAATAATTGATTAATTAATTAGAATACAAATTCAAGTTAGTAGCTATTAAAGGCATAACAAGACAGAAATGTATAATTCTTTCTTTAATAGAAATGTTTCTTCTGCCCGTAAAGTGTCCAAACCAGGCTTTTCTGGATAAGCGCATTTTTAAAACATAGTCATGGTCCATGCCGGTTTCAGATTATTTGTCACAGTTGCTCCGATCAGATCGGTCTCCTCCATTTTGTAGATTATTTACGACTTTTGAATCCAAATAAACACATCGGCAAAATCCGGCTTACTTTGAGCATGTGTTTTAAACAGTTTAATCCCTTTGTGAATTGTTTCCACTTGCGCCGTCCTTTAATTTCTTCATACAGCGGGAATCCAAATGAATGAATCCTGAGTCCAATAACCATCAAAGTCACTCCAATAGTGCTCCTTGATTACGCGTTCATCCTCCTTTAACAACATACTTCACATTCATCCAGTTTGTGACAGCAGTTGTAGCATTTTTGAGACTTTCAAATTTTAATTACCCCCCCCCCCCACACACACAAGGGGGGGCGGCGCAACTTCCAACAGGAGTCATTTGGGGGGGCTCTTGGGAACCCCTGTTCTAGAGCACATGGAACTGAGGGAAACTCTGAAAGAACACGCCCATTGGCTACAAATCAGTATATGATTGGTGGATCAAACTGTCAATCCAAACGCTCTCATTCAGTGTGAGGGCCGGGGCCTTCTATCAAGGATATGTTTTTCTAACACAAACCCACTGAAATGCGTAGTGCATGGACCGAGACGGACACACAAATCAACGTAACACTGTAATATTACAGATCAACAACACAGATACCATTCTCATTTATTCATTTTATTTACATTTTATTTATTTAATTAAATCGATGTTGTTGTTTGTTCCAGGGTGTTCTCTGAATGCCTTGAAGGCCCTGACGGTTCACTTCTGCCTTCTTCTAACGTTGATCCGAGTTGAGTCGTGGAGGATTCAGCCCCAGCAGAGAGCCCCAAACGTCCCTTTCCCCACATCAACCAGCTCTGACTGGGGGACTCAAGGCGCTCCCAGGCCAGCGGAGAGATATCATCCAGTAAATGCAAATATGTGAAAATGAAGTATATATCGTGAATCACATCGCAGTAGCAGTCAAAATAAGTTGTTATTTTTTCCAGATCTGCAGTCCTGAAACGAGAGCCATAGTCTGCTCTGATTGGTTAGCTGGCCGGCTCTGTTGTGATTTTTGTATTATTATCAAATGCAATTAATAAAATGTCGTTAGATACAAATGGGCATGTTATAAAGTGACTGTAGTCAAATTGTTTTAATGTAAATGATTTCCCAAGAAACCAGCAGCTGAGGATCGCACGGTTCTTGACGACAAGGGAGGTAACAAAATAGCGTTGACCTTAAGGGATGGTAATCCTCGATTGGTTTCAAGAGTAAGTACCCATAGGTCGATAAATAAAGCCTGGCTCTTGTGAGTTTTAAATCCTATTCACCTCTATGGGCGATAATAAAAACATCTCTGTGGGAATCTCCCTCCAGCGGCTTCCCCCAACATGTCTCTGTTGATTGATTGACATCTGACACAGCTAATGGGGACAGCCCTCTCTAAACACCACAGGGAACACCACAACAAGCAGATAGGGACTCTTTAAAGCTGTGGGAGTCTTTTGGTTGGAGGGGGGGGGGGGGGGGGGACACACACACACTGTTTATGGATGGACTGTATGTTGGACTACCTTTTCTTCAGACCACCAGCGGAGAAGTTTCAGGCCCAGAAAGGTTCTCAGGATATAACTAATTAACTAATTAGTGAGCTTTACATGGAGTGCAGTTATACACATGGATAAAGCTTTGCTAGTTCTTTGCAAACAAAACAAAGCGCTTTACATCACCAGCCAGCATTCACACATATTCACACACACACACACACACGGCACGCACGCAACGCACGCACGCACGCACGCACGCACGCACGCACGCACGCACGCACGCACGCACCACACACACACACACACACACACACACACACACACACACACACACACACACGCACGCACACACACACACACACACACACACACACACACACCACACACACACACACACACCACGCACACACACACACACACACACTCACCACGCACACACACACACACCACACACACCCACACACACACACACACACACTCACACACACACCACACACTCACTCACCGCACACACACACACACACACACTCACCACACACACACACACACACACACCCCACACAACACACCACACACAACATTCTTATACTTTCTTGTGGTCCATCATTTTGAAATACAGGGTTATACAAATGTCCACATTCATCTGTTTTTGATTTTGATTATACAGTTTATTTGCCGGTGATTCATTAACATTTATAAATAATTAATATAGATAACAAGCTTTTACTTTTTGCATGTATAAGGGCCTGGAGAATAAAGATGAAAAGAGACTCATTTTTATGTCGACACACAAACCTAAGTTACGATCAATAACCAAAATATTCAGATAATACGATTAGATATTAAAACAGCCTCTTTGATTTGGAAAATATTGGTGTTTTTTTGTGTCTTACTGAGAATGCTGGATTAACATATACCGTAATTTTCGGACTATAAACCGCGACTTTTTTCCCATTTTTCGACCCTGCGGCTTATATAACGGTGCGGCTAATCTATGGATTTTTACAGCTCCGACGACTTGCTCTGAAAACACGGAGGAGCAAAACAACAAACGAGTGAAACAAAGCGTATATTAAAGCCCGGGAAATATACCCGTTTTGACGCTGTTTCAGGAGCGCCTCTAACATTGTTTTGAAGGCCTGTTGCTAGCGGGGGATGCTAGCGGGGGATACTAGCGGGGGATCGTCGGGCTAGCCCTGTAGACACCGGGCCGAGAGAGCGCAAGGGACCGGGACAGGAGCTCCGCGGGATAACGACCAGGTTTGACTGACCCTGCCAGTCCTATCTTATAACACAAAGAAGACGTAACCTCTCCTAAGTTTGAAAGTTGAAAAGTTTGTGTGTCTGAAACGCTATGTGATACAGTACAGTTTACACAGCACAGTACATGTTCTGTAGCTACTATTGCACTAAATGGTAACACTTGAATACGTTATGCAAATATGCAACTTGTTTTTTGAAATGTTAATAAATGG